TTATTCTTCAACATCGAAAAAAATGTGCATCAGTAGTAGTTTGAAAGCCGATTAAAAATGTGCATGAGAACTTCAGTGACTCAAAGAAGAATTAGCGAAAATATGATGTATCGTGTTGGATGGAAATTGAGATGGCTAAGTGATTCAAACAGACCTCCAAGAAACTAAGTATCTATCAAAGGGCTTACTGTGCTTCTGAAAAATCGTGTGAAGAATAGAATAGCGGGAGTTTTAAATGTGGACATAAAGAAAGTTTAACTACAAACGGCACTTTAGTAACAACAGGTTATGTAACTACAAAAGGTATGTTATTATTATCATCAAAAACAGCAAGATGAACAATGTTCATTAGAAAACAAAAGAATTTACAATGTAAAAAAGAACAATAACCCTAATCTCTGTTCTTACAGTGGACATGTTTTGGAATGTACACATAAATTTGTAGTTACAACTACAGGTAATATTTGTTGTTCTTGCTTTGAGGAAATTTCTTACTAGAAAGGATCACATGAGATTAATAGAGAAGTAGGTTAATTCTGACTACGACAGCGAGTTTTCTGAATAAAGATGATGAATTTCGCAGGCACTTAACAATCTATAGCTTGAGCTCATAAATAACGTAGCAGTTGGGTATGGGTTAAATGAAGGAAATGTTAAAATTACCTTAACTTCAATCAAAAACTGAGATGATTCGGGAGTGTAATATTCGTATCAGTTTAACTTGTCTTTAGTTATTCCACATCAGCTGTCATACGGTTGAATTTTAAAGTGAAGTTCAGAAGAATTATTAATATTAAGTTTAATCACGGATTGATGTCAGTCAGAGAACCCCTGAAAACCAAGCAGTACTGGACAGTTGTTTCGTTCTTCTTTAGGAGTCTTCAATAGGCAGTATGCACTCATGACTCCACTAAGGATAGAACCCATGTCTTTCAGGTTAACAGGCGAGCGGGCCATCATTCATTTACTGGGAAGGAATCCGAAACATCATGAATTCTAACTTCAGGCAATTTGTGTTCTACGTACTACTGAAGAATACCAAATTAGGACGAAGCAGATGTTTGGTACTTCCTGGTTTTCACGGGCTCTCTGATTTATACGAGTTGATCACGGACTGATATCGGTTAGAGAACCATTGAAAACCAGGGAGTACTGGACAGCTGCTGTTTCATCCTAGTTTGGGAATCATCGGCAGTACGCACCCACTGGGATTCGAACCCAGGACCTTCCGGTTACAAGGCAAGCTCGCATACCACTCAGCCACTGGGACCCGATTCAATGGCTCATGAATTCTAACTTCTACCAATTCGTGATTTAGCGCGACCCCGACCATTGTCGTTGGTGGGACATCCATCCATACACGTGATTTATATCAATGAGTGATCGAACCTGGAATCAGTCAAATCCCTACAAACTAACTCTTGAAAATTGATAGTCTATAAATCTCTGCTAGTACTAACTTTTATTTACCGGAATGTTATTTTTCTAGGTTATAATGCGTGAAAAATAATAATGGCTTTATTTTAAACGATATTTTTAATGCAGTGTTGAACTTTCAGCAAGTAGTTCTATATTACATCTAGTGTTCTCTTCAGATTAAATGATAAGGGGAAAAATAATTACATAACTTCACGATATTTACAGTTATAATAGTAGTAATAATGTATATGTACACATGAGTAAAAATAGGTTGCAAATTTGAATGAGGCAAGAACAGCAGTTTGTACAGAATAAGATGATACCATCAATTATTTCGGTGGCTTCTAAGTCAGTTGCATACAGTCTAAAGAAACTATTAGGTTTATGTACAGAACAATCTTAACATACTTGCAAATGTTACATGACGTCAGTTGACAGGAGACTCCAGACTTAACAAATGGTACTCGGAAAATTATACTCATATAATTTATACCCAGAGAGTTCAAGTTTAAACAAAAGTAAATGTTTGCATACAATGGTGAGGGAGTTTCATAATAAAAACAAGAGGCAACTGATAAATTGAGTAACAATGCGGTGATTTCAACTCATTTTATAGAAACAAGAGACAAGAAAAGTTACATTATGTAAAAAAGGGAGAAGTTAAGGTCAAAGGTTACGTAAGCAAATAAAAGAGAATAAAGAAATCCAGTTGCCAGTGGAAGGAAAGACTGATAGCAACTTCTTTCTGAAGACTGGAGCAGCAAAATTAGGGACGACTGAACTATTTTGTCTATTGACAATTTCAAAGGATTTCGCGATGTCTACCTCATGACCCGTATTGATGAGATGTCTGACAGTGGTACTATCATTAGCATTTTTTCCTTTGAGAAGTGGGCTTTGTGGTACATGTTCAGAAAATTGGAGGTGCGCCCTCCTTTCTGTTCTGTCAATGTAACTGCTTCCGCAGATAAATGTAAATCTAATAATTTCTTTAGGCTGTACGCAGCTGATTTAGAAGCCACCGAAATAAACGATGGTACCATCTTATTCTGTACAGACTGTTGTTTTCGCTCTAGTCAAATCTATAAAGTGTAATAAATGTATGAAGACTTCAGGTTAATAGGAATATTAATGAAAAATACATTAATGTTGGAAATAATATATGTACATAATGTTCATTACAGCTTTTAGCTTCATTGCAGCATGAGTATTCTAGTACATAATACTTCTGAGCCATTCCACACATTTATCACTTTGAAGACTCCTAATGCTGATAATTTCTTTCTCCTGTTTGTTTTAAGGTAGTTTTAATCTTCCCGTTAATTGGTTGTACAGAAATGTTTAGCCTCTGTTGACATCTTTACCCCTAGTACGGACCCTTAGATGATGCCTAAGGATTGACTTCAAGAAATTTGGTGGATGATGACTAGCAGAGGAATCCAAGATGTGCTTTGGCATACTAGATTCGAGTCTCAATAGGAACACCACCATTTACCGGTGAATTCAGCTACATTCAGCAGACAAGCAGTCTCAGATAGGATTATTTGAGCATCATGGATTTTACTGCTAGTCAACATCTACCAAATGTTCACTTTTCCTGTGCTATTTTGCCTACAAACCTTCATAAAAATGGGTACAGCCTGGAGACATAAATAGTTTCAAATGTTCAAGTGAAATACTTTTTTCTGTGATATGAATGCAATCTGGAAAAAAGTCTAAATAAAAGACAAATGTTTGTATTATTATTATTATTAATAATAATATTTTTTAATGCTAATTTACATTTCAGTTTAGGTTCACTTTGAAGAGAATTTAAGTTTAAAAGGTGAACATATAGTACCTGTCTAATTAGTTGAAAAACAAGTCATTAATTTTAAATATTCAAAATGCATAGTAATGTGTCTTTTAATTCATATCTACTAGTATGAGATGAGTTTTAACTTTTTTTCCAACTGAACAAATCGAACTACCTAGATAAACTGTCATCCAATCTATATTGTAACAGGAAAGTTTAGAAAAAGGTTGGCTTCCGTAGGATACTACCGAACAAACGGAGCCACAGCTGGCAAAATCCTTGAAGAAAATGAAAGATGAATGGCTTATTTGTACGGAACCATACGAACAAATTAGTCCATTTGGTTTTATAACACTGTACATGTACGGCTTACCTAAGGTACTCAAACAAGTTGTTCCACTCCGTCAAGTAGTTCATACAGTAAATTCCCCATATCACTCACTCGTGAAGTGGCTGGTAAAGATTCTTCGACAGGTGAAAGAAAAGCTATCTAGGTACAGTCTCCGGGACGCATCCGAATTTGTTGATTCAACTAAGAATGTCGGTCTTTCAGGTCTCTTTGGATGTTGTCTTTCTCTTCACCAATGTTCCACCGACAGAAACCGTGCTGCATACCCATTCATAGTCCGAAGAAGCTGATACTCTTATGCACAATAAAACTCCAGTGACTTGATGTTTAATCCGTATTAGGGTCAAGTACCAGGTCAGCTCACTTTATTTAGCTATACAGCCGCGTTTATTTACTTTTTCTTCGTGAAAGGAGAATAATAACAGATATGATGAGTTGCCGTAATCATAGTTGCTGGCACAGTGGTTAGGACTCTCGCCGACCATGCACATGGTCCGGGGTTCGATCCCCTGCCGGCGCACACCCGATATCTATGGTCGGCCTGAATTTGGGCTACCGATATCCATGCTGAAAATTCCACACTTGTACTGAAAATACGGTGTGGAATCAAGCTGTAAATCAAAAAAAAAAATATTAATCAGTTCTTAAAAGGAGTTGAATGTTATTGTCAAAGTCACCTGGTAAAATAGTTTAATGAGTGAATTGTAATCAGGATAGGTAAATGTGATTTTACTTAAGAGTTTGAGGGAAACTGAAGAGTTATGAAAACTTCGAAAGCAACATCAAATTGGTAGGCAGTAACAGAGTCGTTACCATGATAATAGAAGTGGATGAGTAGTACGTTTTTGTATGCAGAGTTCCGGGTTTTCCATCCAGTTGGTTTTAAGGCTTCAGTAATGAAAAGGAGACGAAAACATATTGTCTTCAGCAGGTTGCTGTTCACTTTGGAGATTGCTCTCAGGAAGAAGTGTGTCGAGATGCAGTTTTAACTGTCAACAAGCTGTTCAATTATCTCACTGCTTATACAACCACTGCCACCTTTCTGCAACCAAGAGGAATAGAATTCTTAAACTCTTTTAGACAGGATACGCGTTGAGCCACCAGTACTTGTGGCTCAACACAAACGGGTGAACTGGGAATCCTGATTCCAACTCGCCTGTTCAATTATTTAATTGACTAAAAAACTATAACACCCTCATTGAACTCCACTTATGTATTGAATTATATTAGTAACTATGATTATGATGCCTCAACACTTTTGTTACTACAATCTTTTGTGAAGAAGTTGTACATAAATGCGATTGTACTGCTAAAGAATATGAATTCACTGGAAATTGTCTCTTTGCTGAACAACTTGTTTTGTTCTTTTCATAAATGCATAGATGAAGATTATTCATGAATTTAAAAACATTCACATATATTTTTTCTTTATTGCAGTATGTCCTCCCTGTGATACCTTGAAAGAATGTGAACAAATTGTATGCAGCAGTACTTTAATAAATGGATCTTTTGTACCGGAATATGTAATTGGATGTGAGTTAGCCTGCCCTTTTGGTGAAATCACCTGTCAAAAGCATGAAGACGGTAAAATTATGTGGTCACCAGTGGATCCATGTTCACCTCTTGAAACAACCACACAATCTTCAACTTTGACGTTCACACCATTCATTATGAATAGTACTTTAGTTTCAACTGATATACCTCAATTAAACACAACTACATATTTCGATGACTTCAATCAAACTGTCAGCTCTACACAAAGCGTCAGTGTTGAAATCACCAGCCCAGATTCTGAAATTTATGCAGAAAAATATGTTGGCCTTACGAAAGCATGGACTTTATTTTGGCTTGTACCATTAATTTTATTTATTACAGTCCCCACCTTATTTTTTTGCTGTCTAGTTATTCATCATTTTCACAAACACAGAGGAAAGGTGAAATTCCCTCCATCGAAAAAACACCTCGGTGATGTAATGGATCCTTCAACTACTTGGGTTGAACGTTCTCAACCACAGATACATAGAAAGTCAAAATTACGAAAAAGTCAGTACCCTAAAACTAAAAACAATGTTAACATTTCTGATGAATCACCAAATAAGTCTGATGGAAATACTACTGATGATGTAAATAATTGCTCAACACCAAAGTACAGTAAATTTAAATCAACAAAGCATTCGTTGAGGGGAGCAGCATCGCCAAGTTTAAATAGAAGACTTATAAACTGGCAAGATTCAGGTATTCATGAATTCGCTGTTCCGCCTAGTCCTAAGTCTGCAGCTGCAATAAGCATGAGTAAAACGTCATTAAACCACTCTCCAAATAGTGAAATTTATCCCTCCCAAACCCCTTTGTACTTGAGAAATTCATCTTCACACCTGATTTCACCAACCCTATCTAGTAGTTCAAGATATCCTGAAGAATTACGGTCAGTGAGTCAGTGTAGCATGCTACTTCCAAAAGCATCAAGTCAGCAGGCTACAGGTTTAATCTATTCAGATTACCAAAATCAGAGAGGTACAACAACAACATTCAATCCTCAGGAGAATCATAACCAACTCACTGAACTCCCTTCTGATAAAAACCATTTTGATCAAACAGTAGTAATGATAAATTATGAAGACGGTGAAGATGGAAATATGGACACATGTGATCAGGTATCATCTATTGTATTGAATTCGACAGTTCCACAGCAAAATCCCAGTGTATTTCATCATCATCATCAGTCATTTAATGCATTTACTGATAATGAACACCCAGATAGCATGTATGATTCAAACTACGATGACTGGACAATAGGCGAGACAGCCACCATTCAACGAATACCTCGTATTTAATTGATAAGATTTATTGCTTTTTTTTTTATAAATCTATTTTATTTCTTTTTCAATCACTTCCAACATGCCTCTATATAACTTTGTATATTGGAGTTCATGTAATTTTTAGCCAAAAAAGAAATAGGGATGTAATCATGCAAATAAATTTCCTAATTTTCCGAAAGACTTTTTAAGAATAACTCAAATTATGCCTTCACTCCTTTTGCCTTTTTATTCTGTTATTGAGGATGTAATCTGTCATTTATAAATATTTACTGGCATTTTGCTTGAAACACTCTTTGTTTTCGTAAGCATTGCGAGAAAGAAGATAATTTTTGAAATTCCACACTTTTTGTAAAAGACGTTTCGTAGGTTGTTTTGGCTTTCACTCATATTAATTAGTTGATTTTCACCTTATAAAGTGATGATATGCATTGAAAAATTTCAGTGTCTATTAACCTGTAAATGTTCACCGTAAGACAGTGGTCTCTTGAATTATAATTTTTGCATTTATAACAGGAAGTGATGAGTTTGTGTTTTAATTAAAAAAGAGTTACGTAATAGAACGAAATTACAATTATTAAGTTTAGGTGAATTAAGTGTCGATATAAGAGGGTAGTAACAAAAGTGATGAGTTGTCAGAAACGATTGTTAAAGAAGAGTTGCGTAATAACATGAATAGTTTAATGAAAGAGTTGTACTCAGGATGTACATGGAAACAAAATATACGGAATTACATAAGGGTTTTAAGTAGAAAAATAAGCATAGAAACAAAAGTTAAGTCAAATCAAATAAACAAACAAAGAAAAGTTAAGTCAAATCAACACAGTTGTTACCATAGGAGTAGAAGTGGTTGAATAATTTTCTTTTGTATGCACAGTTCTGGTTCCTCTAGCTTAATGGCTAGGGCTTCTGCGATGTAAAGAAGACGGAATCGTACTGTCTTTGGAAGGTTGTTCTTCACTTTGTAGATTACTTTGAAGGAGGCGTTTGTTGAGATGGAATGACCATGAAATGACTCCCATGGTAACAACTGTGTTGATTTGACTTAACTTTTCTTTGTTTGTTTATTTGATTTGACTTAACTTTTGTTTCTATGCTTATTTTTCTACTTAAAACCCTTATGTGATTCCGTATATTTTGTTTCCATGTACATCCTGAGTACAACTCTTTCATTAAACTATTCATGTTATTACGCAACTCTTCTTTAACAATCGTTTCTGACAACTCATCACTTTTGTTACTACTCTCTTATATCAACATCCATTTCATCTGAACTTACTAATTGTATTTTAATTAAAACACTGACAAAGGTGCCATTATGTTGCTATTATTATTACCTTAGGTTCATAACGGAATATAAGAGTTCAGCAATGCATCTCTATTTCATCCTGTTCACTGAAGTTTTCTTTAGATGGATCCAAGATTGCCCGTTAGTTCTTATCTCTTCCCCATATTGCCCTCAAACCTGTAACCGACTCGTCGTTCATTAGGGTTCCACTCCAGCGATGGCTTGGTGCCCAATGTTATTCGACGGTCTCCTCAGCACATGTCCAGCCAATCTCCATTTTCTTCTTCATATTTATTGGGTTATGGGTTCTTCGTCGATTCGTCCCCAGAAATCCTTCTTACCATTCCTTTCTGGCCATTTGATTTTAATCATGGAGTCAAGATAGTCTGAAGCGTCAAGTCTCTAAAACATATAGAGTAAGTGTCTTGATTGACATTAGTGATGAAAATGAGAATCTTGTTTTTCATGCTTAGTTCAGTAGATTTCCACACTGATCTCAGAGTAATGCAGGTTTGTCTTGCCTTTCAGATACCGGTTTCGACATCTTCATTCGTACCGACTGTCTGTAGTTGAAACAATATTGCCTAGATGAATGAAAGTGGTGATTTCCTTCGAATTTCCCCTGCTGATAGTGATTGGTACTAGTAGAATAATTTGATAATGTTATTTAAGAAGAATATGTTGGTTAATTATTCACCAGTAAATAGTAGTGAAACTTTATTTACTCACTGATCATTCGAGATTATTTTGTTTTGAAAATGAGATGAAAAGTAATATCATACTCTGTTGTCATATTTTACGGTGTCAGATCGCTGACCTTCCACCTAAACTCCTCTCTTTTCCGGGCTTAAAAGTGGTAAGCCTAGTGGCTGGAAAGCATTCTAAAATTGAACCACTGATGTACACATAATCCGAAGAGACTTTAGTTATTATATTCAATGTTGGACAATGATGAAATCCATGTTTGTGCTCCGATTTCTATTGCACATTATACTGTGTTTCCGAAAGTGCTAGAATGATTTATTGTATAGTGCTGTCAAGCCATTTATTAACTTGTGATATTAAGTTTGAAGCAAATGAATATTGTTTATTTGTTGTAAGCATGATGAAGTAAAATCATGATGTCGATTAAGGTTGTCGCCAGGTTCAGTGTTTAGCAACATCTTGATGAGTCCACTCACTATTTCATTATTTTACTTCAGTGCTCATTACTGGAATTTTCTTGTGTCAGCATGTAAACAATGATGTACTGCCTAATTTTTGTCATTAAAATAGTGCAAACTCCAGACTAAATTAATAATGATATTTAAGACTTGCATGGAGTTTACAATTTCTCAAAGACATTATTATTATTGTTCCCTTGGGTTCCTAGTGGAACATAGGGCTTCAACTGCACGTCTCCACTTGATTCTGTCTTCTGCTGTACTTTTCACTTGCATCCATGTTAGTCCATACTGTTTCAACTCTTCTTCACACGATCTCCTCCATGTCACCCTTGGACGTCCCACTCGCCGCTTCCCTTTCGGGTTCCACTCGAGCACTGGCCTGACACGCGATGTCACCCAACGGCCTCCTCAGCGAGTGTCCATTCCATCTCCACTTTCTCCTGCATATTTGTTGGTCGATTGGTTCTTGTTTTTTCTGTTTCGATAGTTTCTTGTTGGTGATTCCTTCCGGCCATCTAATCTTCAGTATAGAACGAAGACAGTTGTTGATAAAGGTCTGCAACAGGCTGTTGGAAATATTCTCTGTGACCCGCCAAGTTTCTGATCCATCCGTATAGAAGAACTGACTTGACGTCTGTATTGAAAATCCGAATCACTTTGTTGTTGATGCTGAGTGACGAAGATTTCCAGATTGGTTTCAGGTTGACGAATGTGTTTCTCGCCTTCCCGATTCTCGATTTGACATCCTCGTCCGTTCCTCCCAGATAAGTGAATAAAGTAACCCCTTTCAAATCCCTCCCGTTGATGGTGATTGGCGCTGTATGTTGCTGCTGTTGTTGTTGGTTGGTTATTTTTATAACCTCCGTCTTGTCTATGTTCACCTGGGGTCCTGTATTTGCTGCTTCTTCGACCAGTATGTCGGTTTTCATTTGTAAGTCTTCGATTTTGTGTGACATCAAACATAAGTCATCCGCGAAATCTGAAGATAATCCTTTAAGTCATTGCTGATTTCACTATCATAACACTGTTTTGAATAGTGAGTAAGGTTGAAGGGCATAGTCCAGTGAACTAAGAGGCTTTTATACTAGATTATACTGTCAACTGAAATCCTTAGTTAGGCATGGTTTCTGTTGGTTTCCTCATAGTTTTATATTATCAGTGCCTTAAAAGAAGAGGAAATACTGTGTGGCCATTCTTTTTCGTGTTCATTTACTTAGGGCTTTTTGTGAATAAATTAGGAAATGTCAGGTTGTATGATTCTGACTCAAAGTGTATCTTTACAAATGTGTTTGAATTTTATTTCGTTTTATAATTCATGAAAGAGCTTCTCTTGAAATGTACAGTGAATGTCCACTTTTTATTTAATAAGGAACTATATAGACAAATCGACGGTGTGGCAATGGGGTCACCACTAGGACCCATTCTAGCCGACATTTTCCTTGCGAAACTAGAAAGTGGGCCTTTGAAGGATGTTATTAGTGAACTTGAATTCTATTGTCGTTACATGGATGATACATTTTTGATTATGAAAAATGAGGAGGAAGCAAAGAACATCCTGGATAAATTTAACGAAGTTCATCCTGCAATAAATTTTACTATTGAGAAACAAAAAGATTCTAGTATTTCATTTTTAGACGTCCTTATGACCAGAAAAGAGGATGGCACAATAAGAAGAAGTGTATGTAGAAAACCTACATCAACGGGTCAGTACAGTCATTTTCTCAGCTTCATGCCCTTGAAATACAAACGCAATCTGATAAAGTGCTTGGTTCATAGAGCAAGAGCAATTTGCTCGGACGAATGTCTTGATGAAGAACTTAATAATATTAAACAGTTGCTAAGTGAAAATGGTTATCCTGAAAAGTTTATTGATAAGAATATGAATCTAAAACCAAAGCAGCCCAAGTTACCAACAGTTCCAAAAAGGCCTTATTCATACAAATGCAGTTCCTTGGGGACAACATCAGTGAGATACTAACACAGCGCCTTAGAAATGCGGTAAAAAGAGCATTCCCTGCTGCCGAATTATGCTGTATCTTTAAAACTACTCCTCTTTTGCGTTCGGGAGTAAAAGACAAACTGCCTAATTTCGCCTCTTCCATGTGTATCTACCAATTTAACTGCTCCTGTGGAGCCAGTTACATAGGCCGTACAATTAGGCGTGTTTCTCGTTGGATTTCCGAACATCACCCTGCGTGGTTAAGCAAAGGACAAACAAAATCTATTCGCAGCGCTATTCTGTCTCATCTTGTGGATACAGAACACAAGATTGACGTTAACCATGCTTTCAGGGTAATTTACCGCATACCTACGAATCTCAATTTTGCCTTAAGAGTTCGACTACTAAACATTGCTGAGGCTGTGGGGATCCATATTAACAAGCCTAATTTATGCATCCAAAAGAAGTTAGTTCAGACATTATCATTACCTTGGCCATCTGGGTTTGAATGATCCTGAATTTTTGTGGAATTTTCCTAATTTTAGTTGATATTCTATTCGCTATTATATCTTTATTATTATTATGATTTAAGCATCTTTAATGAACTGTAATTGCATTGATCATACTTTACAAATCGATATTATTTAAAAAACACTAATATTGTTATTGACTACTAATTTAAAATATTCTGTATATAAACGTATATATAATTGTAGAGCTGGAAGAGGAATTTATCGAAAAGGATATTCTTTGCTCGATTATTTTGTGTTTTATAATTCAATTTTGATTTTCCTGTTGATTGGTTGGACCAAAATGTTTGACCTCTGTTGACATGTTAGCTCCTTGTACGGATGCCTTTGACGATGTTTAAGGATTAACTTGAAGTAATTTGGTGGATGGTTAATAGCATCCAGATGACGAATCTCAAATAGGATGAAATGTGCATCTTGAATCCCACTGCTCGTCACTACACAGGAAATTACATTTATTTCGTTTT